TTTAATTAATATTCGAATTTTTTGAATAATCATATTATTTTTTCTGGAATAAAAAAAACTTTTATAACAAACTATGATATGTTGATAAAAAACATTATATCTAGTAACAGCAGTAAGCACAGGAAGTTGATAAAATAAACGACGTACATATAGAGCAATGACGTCAAGAGATACGTTCTTAATTGAGAAAATAACGATAACGTGCAATTTAAACGAATTTTTTTACTCTTATTATATTTTTCACAAATGATAAAAATATTATTATAAATCAATTTATCAGTAATTGTATATATTTAATAATTGAAATTTTATAATGAATATAAAGACTGGAATAACAATAGAGATAGTAATTTTAATAAATTTATAAAATTAAAAAATTATAAAAATAAAAAATATTGCAATAGATAAAATTTGAGAAGTTTTTAAATTTGTTATTCAAATGTAAATTTCTAGAGAAGAGAAATGGGTAAATTTCATCGATTTAATTAAGATAATGTTGTTATTATTGCATTTTCTACATTTTTTTTTATGTTACGAAACTCTTTTTGCTAATGGATTTTACTTTCTTTCGATTTTAGATGTTCGAATTAGATTCGCATAAAAATGATTAAGTTTTCTTATTGCATATAATAAACTACGACATTCATAACTTTCTCACAATGCGAAATATCTTTTAGTGTACAATACGATCTCGAAAGAGAATGTAATTTTCGTTCAATAAAAAGTAAAGTTTTGTTTTTTTTAAAGTGAAATTTCGTGGAAAATTATTTAAAATTTGTGATATTGTTTTAATTTAATAAAGCTCTTCAAATGATTCATCGATTAACAAAATGTAATAGAAAACGAGTTAAAAATTGTAAAAAACAATCATCGTCTCTACGCTTTGGAAATTATGCATCATTAATCTACTATATTGCATTCATTAATCGTTTCATGGGTTTTTTACCTTACAAACTCGAATCGTCGAAATTTATGTACTCGAAATTATACTCCGTTTTCTCTACAATCATAATTATTATTTATTTATTTTTCGCAATTATCTCCTTATATGAAATTAATTTTTATATCATAATAGATGACGGGATATCTAAAAGGTTGCATCGTAATTCTATTGCGTTATTTGGTCCTGCAATATTCATTTGTAGTTATGTCTCAAATCGATCAACGATTCAGGCGATTCAACGTGTTCAGGATGTTTCTCACGCATTCTCTGCAGAAACTTTTAACAAATTGATCAAAACACTCCTTATAAAAGATATAATATTCCTTGCCCCATTAGGATTTTTTATACCGTATATGATAATCAAACATGATTTTCAAGTTTTTCTTTGTATTTGTTGGTATTCATTTTTTGGACTTCTTATAATAAGCATTTTATACGTGAACAATGTGTACATATTAAATGCCTGTTTCAAATTTATAAATAATTCTTTAATAAAGATTAAAAACATTCTAATCAACGATGAGCCTCATCTTCTCAGAAGAGAGTATCATATGAAAAAAAATCCCATTTTGCTTATGGAATTGAGGATTCTTAAGAAACAATATACGGAATTGATAGAAGCGGTTCAGTTATTAAATCATTCATACAGTTTGAAAAATGAAATGATATTATTGATGTTATTCTTCGATATTACGTTCAACTTATACTTTTATCTAATATTATACAATACAGAAGTAGGCAAGTTCACAAAGATAGACATTACTCTTGGATTTGCGATTTTCTATACCGTATATATTGTTACTTCTTTTTTAATCATTGAAATTATTAGAGTCCAAATGAAAAAAATTGGCTCAAATATTCATAAAATTCTCGTACATACCTTTGACGATCAAATTATGGCGGAGGTAAGATCATTTGATTTACATTATATAGATTTTAATGGGTGGATTCATCGATTTGATAATTTTAGTTGGAGTTATTTTCCTTAGAAGTGCTGCAAAAAGACAATACATTTATAATGTTGGGACTTGAAATAGACTTGACTCTTGTGACGAAGGTAAGTAAAATGAAAAGGTAAGTAAAATGAAAAATTTATCGAGGATGATCAATTTTTTTTTTTTTATCAATTCTATTTTATTTTACAGATGACATGCAAAATTACTACCTTTTTATTAATGTTGATACAATTTTTGTTTGTACCACCTTGTTAAAGAAAAATTTCGATCAATTAAGTTAATACGTATTCAAGAAATAATTGATTTGGATAAAAAACTTATTCATTTAGCTCTTTTTGTAATAAAATTATGTTATTTCCAATTATGTTAAGAGCATTTCCATTTTACGAAAAATCAATTTTCCATTATATATTTATCATTTTTCATTATTGAATTACATTTTTTCTTACTTTCTTGGTCGAATATCATTATCCTAAGTGCTTCGCCTTAAAAACGATAGTTGTCCGTAGAGGAATACTATTCAGTTCATTTATATAAATAGATAACTTTTACACGTAACATTTTCGAAATCCAATTCACGATTCAATAATATTTGGATAAATAATGTGGTTCGAAAAATTGAAAAAATATAAAATATGGAAAATGTTTAACGCGACAGATTTTAATTCATTGATGTTTCCTTGTTTCTTCATGTGTAGAATAATTGGATATTTTCCTTACAAATGGAAACGTCCAGTATATTTATTTTCAAAAACTCGTTTCGTTATTAGTATATTTATACTGTTATTTTCCATTTTTTTATGGTTCAACTTGTTTTACCAACTCAATTTTACTAATATATTACAAAAAAACACAGTAGAAGTAATTCATGAAAACATGTACGCTCTTTTGATTGGAATTGGTATTATAACGATGCATGTTTTATCCGGTACACGATTGCGCATGATTCAAAACTTATTAAAGATTTCTTCCATATTATCTGAAAATGATTTCAACAATTTAGCGAAATGGATTCACAAAAAGGACATTCTTGGTTTCTTATACATCCTTATTCATGTACCACATTGTTTCAAGAACAGCATCTATATAACTGTGCGAAATTTTGCGCATGTGTATATATTATTGATGAATTTTTCATTAGATATGCTTTATATAAACTGTGTCTGGGTATTAAAAATTTGTTTTAAAAAATTGAATAAATGTATTCATGAATTGAAAAAATTTCAATTCAACAATGACCTACGAGTAGAGACAATTGTGCAGAATGGACAGAAAAATTCTTTGTTGTTACTAAGATTAAAGCATTTAGAGGAAAAACATTTAGAGATCAGCGATGTCGTTCAATTGGTGAACAATACATTTATGATACATATTATAATTCTGGTTATCACGACGTTTACTACAATCACTTTCAATCTGTATTTCTTCCTTCTTGGCATACATTCGCCTCAAAACTTTAAGTTCTGGTATACACCGTATATTAGTCCAGCGTTTTATTTTTTCATTAAATTTGCGATGATAATTTGGATCTGCGAGTCAACAACGAATGAAGCGAAGAAGATTAAATGGACCCTTTATGATGCTTTCAGCGATACGACTGATCCATTAGTGAGACGCGAGGTAAGAATTTAATACCAGCGATATCGTGGATCTATTATTAAGATCAATTATTAAGATCAATTATTGGTAAAGATCTAAGACTATTTCTTAGAAAAATTTTAAGAAACAATATTTATTTTTCTTAAATAATGCTTTTATTATTAAATTGTATTAATTATAATTATATAATTATATAATATATAATTACAGATACACCTTTTTTCTTTGCAAATAATGCACAGGAATAATAAATTCACAGCAAAAACATTCGACATGAACAGTGTGCTGTTTGGGCAGGTAAAAAATAAACATCAGTCATAAAAGATTAATTTATTAAACGCAATATCAAAATCATATGTATTTTGTATCGTATTATATTTTTATAGGTTACGAAGGGAATTCTAATATACATTTTGATTTTGTTTCAATTTTTATTGAACTATCGTCTGTGTTCTTAATCGAAAGAACAAGACAAGATTCAAAAGATGTTATTCTGGGTGATACGTGTGCTCTCTACTCTCTCGATTCTTTGGCAATTTTCTGAGATAAAAAATACTATTATCTGTAATAATTTTTAAGTGCACTGAATTATTTATAAGCAATAACATGCATATATATAAATAAATTTATCAATATACGAATTAGAAATATTTTTCTGAATAAACTGGTTGAGAATTTTTTTTAAGTATTTTATAAATTTTTCATATTTATCGAGAATTATAATTAAAACCTAATCTTTTTATTCGTTATACCCTTTTAAATTCATTATTATAAATATAATAGAAGACACATTCGAGATTTGATTTGAACTCAGACTCTCAAAAATGGAAATACAGTGGATATTAAAGTATCAACGATATGAGCATATTTAACGATACGCTCTCAATCTAAATTTATTTTTGACGTTTGCTTCCGGCAATGGATCATTTTTACGAATGTAAATTTCACTCATTCATTCGTCCAGTTTTGAACAAATTATCTGTTATCATTGACACGCAAGAAAATGATCGGTGCAGTTGCACTCGTGATAAAGAATTACAATTCATGGAAATTAGAATTATTTTTCTTTCGTTTCTTTCAATAATTGCATATTTCATTTTGTTGTTTTTCATTTTGCAACCGCGCGTGCAAATATCTTGTTTTCGTGGTCGAGGTTCATGGCGCGGATGATTTCAATTTTAATCATAACGAGAACAAGGAACGCGGTGATTTCTCGAAGGAGAAATCAGAAATGTTATTCTTATTTGTTACATGGGGTGGAGTCGAGTCAATCTATTCTTCTCAAGGTTAATGTCGAGATCGAAGATAATACATAGTAGGAGATATTTTCTGTTAAATACTATCACGTATCGGCGACATTAATACCGCGAAATATATTTGCGATGATAATTCAATGTTGTTATTCTACGTTAAGAATTCTCGCGTCGAGTTAAACCCAAGCGTACCTCTTCTTATAAAATGCATAACAAAATATTGGATCTGTCAAGAAATAAAGTTTTCATATTTTCTTTACCTAGATATTATCATTAAATTCACGATATAACAGAAAGTTTCGTAAAAAATACGAATACTTAAAAATCTACTTTTTTCTTATTAAATTTATATTATAAACGCTTTGTATATCGCAAGATTTTGATGTCGAAGGTCTGATTATAAAATCAGATCATTTGAATAAATTTCAGTACTTATTTCGTGGTGCAAAAATTGAAAAAAATATATTAAAAGAATATCGAACGATCTTTGAAAAAAAAAAAAAATGAAAATGAAAAGTGATTCAAAAAAATTTATATTTTCAAAGTCATTTAATTTACGTCTTTATCATTAGAAGTAAAGGGAATACAAAAGTATTCGAGACTTATTGTTTCCTTAATAATGAACGAGATATATCTATGTATACCGGTATAACGCGGATTCATTCTGTTTATTTTCCAATCGTAGTTCCACCCTTTCACCCGGATCGAACAACATAAGTTGCACAAACAACACGTGATGACTCTTCAAATTTACCATTCCATTCTTTACCACTCGTTATGAAAACAATCGATGTAACGCGAAAAACGCGTCTTCTCTCGATTCATCGTCATCAACTTTCATAAATCACGGCTAAAGATAAACGCATTAACTTAGCCAAACACTTTCACCCATCAACAATAACTACGCAAAAAAGTTTGCCAATATTCCCAAGTAAACTGTCAACGCAATTCCTCCGATATATCAATATCAAACTTGTTTCCGGAAACCACGTGTCGTCACCGCTCAGCGAAACATCTCGAAAACGAGGAGACACGGGGTAAACGTGCCACGACCCTTAAATGAATTGAACCCCTGATTAACCCGATCGGCCTTTTAAACGATCAAGCTTCGTTCTTTTGTCTAATTCTGGCGGTAAACAAGCGGCCGATTTGTCGTGTAGGCGATCACGCGACTGCGCGAGTCATCGCGCGCTCTGAGGCGCCGTCATTTATGACCGACACGCAGTTGTTCAGTATTGCGCCAACAGTCGCGCTGTGAACGTGCGTGTGGGATGTTGTTCCTCCTGTCGATGCGCCGAGCGATGCTTTTTATCAGTTAATCGAACACGACGACGAGCAAATCGACGTTGTTCGATTAAACTCTTGTCACACGTGTCAAGAAATGTCTGCGTTGCAATATCCAAGTTATACCATAAACTCGGGACTAAATTTGGAAAAGGGGGAAATTTAAGGGGAATCGATAAATTTTCCATCCCCCGTTCTTACCGTTCTTCGAATTCGAATCGAATGCAAAGACACGGTCGTAGACGAGTGTGTAGTTTTATGTAATGTGTGACCTAGAGAAAGCACTACTGACCGGTTCTGGAGCGATTAGATAAGGAGGGAATACAGAAAAGCTGGAATTCTACGGTGGTGTACGAAATACGGTGAAACGGCCAATGGGAAATCTGACGTTTCATTCATACGTATATACAGGCCTCTATTATGCGATGTACATTTCATTGCACGAGGTCAATAAAGCGAGAAGTGTATACACATATATACAATATATATGTATATATATATATATAACCGTTATATATATATATATATGTATATATGTATGTAACGGTTCCAACGCGCGTTAACGCGGTACAATGTGTTTTTAACCGTTTGATGGGTTTCCTCCTTCCGAGATTAAATCGTGGACAAACGATCTTCGTTTCTACGTGATGAAGTAAGTATGATCGCAAGACGATTTAATTCGTTCAAATATAGTTTTAAAGCGGGAAGTGTTGACCACGTTGCGAGTCGTTTATATCGGAAACTATATCTTACAATATAGCGATTTAAGCGAATGAAAGATAATTCTGTATTTATAGAACGACACTTTGGACTCATTGTTCGAGCATGAAAAGTTAACGAGAATTTATGGCTCGCGAATTAGTCTATTAGACCACGATTCTTAATCATCGAACGACACTCTCGTCCCTCTTCGGTTCTCGTGATTTCATCCACGTTCATTTTGGTTGCGCAAAGTATGCGCAAAGCGGTATGCGATTGTGTTATTCCCTCTAACCGTTTAGCCGTAAACAGAACAAGTTCAGCCGGATTGCAAAACAAAGCGTTATCGTAACGCTGAATTCCATCCGTTTCGCAGATGATCGATGAGATTTCGCGTTAACAACAAGTCGATGAACAATGCACCACGTTTGTTTGTTATGTATCGTTCAAGACAAAGATATTTTGAAAGTTAGCGTGAACCGTCTGTATCTCCCGCGCGAGCAAATATTTTCGTCCATTATCCATGACGTAGTAGTAGAATCCACGAAGATAGATCGTTTCCAACCTGTTTCCATCTTTTTTTTCGCGGAATACTTTTTATAACTATGTATCTCTAAATCTCGGTTCAAAGCTCATCCTTCTATTATGAAAATACAATTAACTCTCCGGTTCTCAAGAAATCGTTCGTGGAAGAATAAGAAAGGAAAAAAAAAAAAAAGAATAAGAAAAAGAAGAAGAAGAAAAACGTGAGAACATTGGATGGAATAAATAGCAATTAAAGATGGAAAGAAAAGGATCGTTTCACGGTTACGCTTTCACATTGGATTCGGCAGCATCTCGTTTCGTAATCGTAAAAATAAGCCATATTTTTCGGTTGACGACTTCCTACCGGGACTCGTCGTGTCGCGAATAAAATTCGATTCCCCGCCTGGGAATCGGTCATTACTTTTTCTTGCCTTCTATCAATCTCGCGACCTTGCCACGACTCTCCCCCCTCTCTTCTTTCACGAGGTTTCTCGGCCGGCTCTCCGACTACTTGGGAAACAGCCGACCTTGCCTATGATAATCATTGTCACGGTGCACCGCTACGATCAAGTTGCAATAGTGCATTGAATGATTTGCAAAAAACTTGTTTGCTCGCGAGCCAATTGCACGCTACGCCGTGTGCGTCGTTTTGTTTGCAATTATCATAAAGAAATCTTGGGACTTGTCGTTGATATCGAGTCTTGTCGCTCTAATGGTCGCCACGCTTCTTCTTTCTTTTCTTTTCTTTTTTTTTTTTCAATTAAACATCGGTTATCATCGAGGCTCTCGTTCCTTTATTCGCGATATTCTTCGTTATTGGCCGATTATTAATTGTTTCATTGATCCGCTCGATATCGTAAAGACTGGTTAGATAAGATTCTTATTCTAACGATACTTATTAACTCGATAGTTACGTAAGTTCCTTCCCAATATTTACAAAACAACTCACGAATATATATATAAAAGTCACGAATGCTTTTTACATCTGTACCGGTCGGTGTTCTCCAGTTTGTTTTGACCAGGTTATTACATCTCTTCGCGAAGATTCGTACGATAAGCAGTTTCCTGACGATCTTTCCTCCGAAAAATTTTCGTCTTGATTCGTCTTTGGTCGGAATTTTGTTGGAAAATAATCTTGATGCTAGTTTTGCCAGGCGTAATATCAGCGTGTTTTCAAGTCGCTAAGGCCGAAGAATGTTGCAATACAGGGGATTTATTGATTACGATATCAATGTATTCTCGGAATTCTGATGAATCATTTTTCGAAAGAAAACGATTTATAGCTGGAACTGAGTTTCTGTCCGCAATGATTGCGATCTTTCCTATTTCTCGTGAAAAATAGATTTTTATCTCAATTTATAAGGAAAAGAAAAATTTTCCGTTTAAAATTAGTTTCCCAATTTACATCGATCGACGAGCTCCGGCGAATTATCCTATATTTCCTGACCATTATATTTTCTCATTGAATAACAAACGCAATTGGATCGTCATGCAGCTTTTCAAGTCCAAGAAGTCAGGGTCTCCGTCACACCATTGCATCGCTAAGATAAAATCGAATCTGGGTCGCAAGACTGTGCGGTGCCTCTATCGGAAACGACAAATAGCAAAAGTCTTGTTCGTTCTAGCGGACCTGTTATATCCTGCATACCGAAATTTCGTTTGAATAAAAAACTGATTGCTTAATCTGATTCTATACTATTGGAAACTATTATTACATCTTCGATGCGTGAAATTAATTAACTTTTAATCGAGAAAGAATTAATTAAAGGTATCGTGTAAAAAATTGTGAATTATCTTGCAATAATCAT